AGTCTGTTGTGAGGTATGGTTGATGTTGGTGTTAAATGTTACGATCTATGCTTGTACGTGCCAAATTTTCGATTCATGTTCTATATATTTTTTATTTTTAGTAGTGGTTTGCAGGGAATTTTTTGACGTAAATTAGCGTCACATGAAATCAGATGCTACTTTATTAGTTAATATGCAGCTATTCAATTTTGCTGCAAACTATTCTACGACTGAAAATTTTGATTTAAATTTGATGCAATTTTGCTTTTAAAATAATCCGACCTGAGTTAAGCAATTAATAATATATTTCCCCGTCGCAAGTATATAAGCATCATAAATAATCAGACCCAAAGCGTCACAAACTTTAACGGTGGAAATTATTCAATGTAAATTCCCCTGCCACCGACGTTTTAACATCGAATTTTTTTTCGTTGTATTTCTGTTGGTAATAGTGTTTACCTGCATAAATTAAAGCTATTACCGACTGATTTTTCAAACGGTGAAATTGAGTTTTCATGTACTACCTATTCGCCAAAATAAAAGGAGTGAAATGTATTTTTCTCTCGAAAGTGTAATTGTTTAAACTGTATAGGCGTTCTACTAAAACTCTATCAAATCTAAGAAAATTTACGAGATATGGTTGCCGGCAACCTCAGAACAACATAAGTTCATTAATTGATGTAATCATGCATGGTTCTCATCTGTCCCTTCTCTCTCACACACGGTCATGTGGGTGCTTAATCAACGACATTTGTCCCGAATAGATGACAAGCACTGCACTCGATGTTCAATGAATCAAGAATGCAAGTAATCGAGCATTGGGTGTGTAATCATCCATATTTTAACTCCTTGCAAATCTTTCCTTCAGGGAATCTTATGTATGATTGGTTATGAAAGGAGCAAATACAAGATGAAGGGCTACAACTTATAGAAGATCAAAACACAACATTCTTCACAAAACCTTTTTCCCAGCATTGAATATCTGGCACAAAGACATCACTTGCAAGAAATGCATGAATTTTGTTGTTACAGAATTCAAATAAAATACAAGGAATTGTATAGTTAACCAAAGGTTAATATGAATTTTAATAACCCTGATGAAAATAAGCAACTACATATATACATATGTATGCATGTATGTATAAAAACTAACAAATGAGACAATAATCACAAGTTTAGATCAACACATGCTATATTAAAAATATTTTGTGATGCAGAGGCTGATAGGCCAAGCCTTAATATTGAACTCAAGTCTTCTTTAGCGGCTTGAAAGGAGTGTGATTCAATACGGGGCGATCATTCGTTGCTACTGTGAAAAAAAGGAGATGTTTGCAGTGCCAACGCTTCACACTGAGTGGGGGTTGGTATGCGAGAGTAAGCATACCTACACAATATGTGCGGAAAATAGTTCAAATTTGCAGGAAATACAGACAAATGACACATGAGTCAGAGACAATGTCCAAAACGGCCGTAGGCAACAATGACGGAGGTGAGTGAGGTGTATTTTAGGGTTTAGGGTGATTGTGACAAAGTGTCGTTTGCTGCGAGCAACGAGATGAAGGGTTATGTCACGGAGTGGTTGTTTCGAAAGATTATAAAGTGAGGGGTGGTTATTTGCTAAAATTTAATGTTTGGGTGCCTGAAGTGTTATATTTAGTGTTTTAAGTGATAAGTATGTAAAAAATGTCTTATTTTAAATATTTCTTATTAGTCAATAAATATTTAGTGTTTAAAAAGATTATTTATCAAAACTAAGACTTTGTGTTGGGATCATTTTTATTTTTAATTTTTTTGTTATGAAAATGTGTTTTAAATATATTTATCTTTATTTTCAATAATAAATTAATTTTTTTTAAATATTCAAAACATTAATTAATCGTGTTATAACAATTAAATATTTTTAATTTCAAATAAAAATAAAAAATGGTCACAAATAGGGTTGGAAACAAGTCAAGTCGAGCTCGCACCACCCTTAGGTTGAGTTTGAGCTTAATTAATTTTATCGAGGTAGAGCTCAAGCTTGAGCTTAAGTCTACGAGTTCGATCTTGCTCATAAGCGGGCTTGTTTATTATAAAGAGAGAAAATAATATTAATTTAAGTTAGTATTATAATAAAATGTCAAATAAAAAGAGCAATTAGAGGAAAAATAATAAGAAAGTTCAAAATATAAAATACAAAATATAATTTTTTAAAATATTATTAATACTTTCAAAAATAAAATTTTCAAAATTAACATAATTTAAATATATTTTAAATTAATCTTCTTTATACGAACCTACTCACAAGTTAACGAGTTGATTCGGGATGAACTCGAATCAACTCATCAGTCCATGTCGCTCCTCCTAATGCAAAAGCCCTAAACCCTCCACGCCTCTTCTTCAATCCATGTCGCTCCTCCTCCATTGCTCTTCTCATCGCCTCCGCTCGATTCCCTTTGTCCCACCCTCATCATCCTCAATCTACTCCTGCAACATTTTCTCCATCACCAAAAACCAAAATGCTCGACGGTTCTCCTCTTGTTGCCTGCCGCTCCGCGCGCTACCCATCATCGACCAGGAGCTCCTCCGGATCCTCTGCGAATCCGATGCTTCCACTGGGAAAGCGAGGACTCACCTCCCTGCAGTCCGTTCCTACGAGACGGACCTCGCCCGCTTCACTCTCATAGGATCTGTCAGCTTCGATCAGGCCGTCATAGCCGCTGCCGCCGATGGTGGAGAGGCCGCGGATGAGCACCTCTCTGCGGGAACTTCTACCATGGTCGTTGAAACGGTGTTTCCCAGCGGTCTTGATGAGCACAGCACCGTATCCACCCGGCTGGTCAGTATGTCTTGAAAATAAATCCAGATGGTTATAGTTTTCTTTTATCCTTATTAGGGCTGCGCAAAGATTTGATGATCGGCACAAATTCATTCGTGCTGATGAAAAGTAGAATTAAATTAGGCTATTGATTGGCTTGATCGCATGCATATGTTCTTATTTCAATCTATATGTATGCACCGATGCATGCGTGGATTCTATGTTTAAATGCATTGATACAAAACAAACGACCTAGCAGTGTACACTCGCCTGGCACATTGCTTGCTGTTCCCTATCATCAGCACCGCATGTTGATAACAGCACAAGCATATCCAAGCCGTTCACTTGGAACAGAAACATTTCTCTTATTATCCTCTTAGGCCTATATATAGCCATACTGCACTAAGCCATTGGTATCAGATAATAAAATAAGATTTTTAGAGAATATTAAAGGGAGGTAGTATCACGTATCTGAATTTTCATATTGGTATCAATGCTCCTAGCCTAACCAACTTCTTCTCTCCTGTGAAAACCATGGATTCTTCTTCCTCCTCCCCATTTCAAGTTTGGTTCTCTCAGATGTTCGTATCCAAAATTTAGCAACAAACTTAACAACTCTATCACGAAGAACACAATCTTCAAATCAATCCAGGGCGATACAGTTGAAGAATGAGCTACGTCACATTATGATGGGGACTGACACCATGAATCAATACCTCACTATAGTTAAAACACTGGCGGACAACATAGCAACAATATAATCGAAATTAGACAATGAAGACAATGCTCTATATTTTAAATGAGTTTTCACCAACCTACAACTATTTTAAAACAACAATTAGAACTCAATTGAACCTAGCATGGATAACTTCTACTCTCTACTGCACAGTAAGAGGCTCAACTTAGCCACTGAAACAACCAATCAAAACCACCTTTAGCCCTCACCACCTCCAAAACTCATGGCCTCCCATATCAAACATGAAAAAATAAAAACCCCTTCACCAAGCAAACCAACACCACAATCAACAACTAAAATAAAACCCACATTATCTCCCAAATATGCATCAAGCAAGTTCACTCATAAGACAAACCTGCAATACAAACTTGCCCCAACAAACACCTACAATCATACAACCCTTCTCTCCAACGCCACGCAACTCACCCAACAATGGGTTCTGAACTCCGGGGCCTCAGCCCACCCAATTCCCCACCTAGAAAACCTGCAACAACCCATTCCATACACAAGGGAACATTAAGTAACTGTTGGAAGTGGGCAAATCATAGACATTACACATAGGCAATTGTATTCTCCCCTCACCAACTCATAAACACACTCTTTTTTTCTTTTGAGAACCTCACTTATCTCACAATTTAATCTAAGTATACAAACCAGTCAAAAACAAAAATTGTATTGTCTCTTTCACTGCTAATGACTTTTGCATACATGATCAAGCCACCAACAGAGTTATCCTTCAAGGAACTATTGATCAAGGCCTTTCTCCCATCATAACCCTCAACGCCAGCATCACTCAGTTTACTTAACACTAAAGATTCAGCCACCAACCACAAAATCCTAGCAACCTTCTCCAAAGACAACTTAGATCTCAACATACCCATGACGCACGCTTCTAGTCCTCCTGCAAAGCCAACAAGAGTCATAAACTACTATTTAATTCTAGTAACTATGACAACTGCTTAGAGCTATTATGCCCTAATGTATTAGAGCCCTTTACCCCAGCTTCCATATATGGATATAAATACTATGTTTCTTTGATAGACTCTTTTTCTCAATTTTATTGGATTTATCTCATGTACATTAAAGTTGAAGCAACTGAACATGTCATTAACTTACATAGAATGATAAAAACACAATTCAACATATCCATAAAACTCCTCAGATCAGATGGAGGTGAATACATCTCCTAAACACTATGCAATTACCTTCTCTCCAATGACATTATTCATCAGTTCAATTGTTCCCATACACTAGAACAAAATGGCTTAGTAGAAAGAACTCATAGACATATAGTTGAAGCTACAATAATATTATTGAACACAACACATTTACCGTACCAATTGTGCATGGACTCTATTTTTACAATAACTTATCCCATGACCCATCTATGATCCCCCACAACCCCAATTATGATTATCTCAAAACATTCAGATGCTCGTGTTATTCCAAAATCAATTACAAACACAGTTTTTTATTTGGCAAACCGGTTTTCATGACACAACCACCTAAATTTATTGACTCCCTAGATTCTTTGTTAGTAAACTTCACAAAGTAAAATACGAACTCATGCAAGTTTCCAAATAGCTAAACTCCACCTTTTACTCTCATCTCTGCACCTAATACTTCATAATAAGCAAAGGAGACGTCTCCCTACTCATAACGACACAACACCACATTCATCTACCTCCTAGCCAATGTGGATGACATTTTTATCATGGCAACTCTCAAACTACCATCAACACACTAATTTATAAACTCAGTCAAGTATTTAGTCTCAAACAATTAGGACCCATCACTCAATTTCTAGGTTTACAATTCAGACACAGCTCATGGGTATTTATTAAATTAAACTAAATACCTTCAAGAACTTCTACATACAACCTGCATTGCACAATCTAGACCAGTTCTCACACCTCAACAACATTCCCTCACCCCACTTCAAGATCCCCACCAAGATATACAACTAATTGGATCCCTTCAATACCTAACTCTCACCCGATCAAATATCAGTTTCACCGTCAACCTACTCAGCCAGCACATGAATCAACCAACCTCTTACCACCTCCAGTCCTTAAAGCATCTTATTGGCCATCTCAAATGAAACCCCCAACCATGACCTAACCATCACCCAAGCAATTTACAACTCCATGCTTTTGCAGATGCAGATTGGGCAACCAGCTTGTAATTGCGTATTCCTTAGATCTACCATTATCTCATGGTCGACAAAGAAGCAACCTATTGTGGCACGATCCTCTATCGAAGCAGAATATCATGCCTAGCTGTAGTAACATCATAAATTCTTTGGTTCTGTCATCTACTCCATGAATTTAAAGTTGCATCCACCTCCCCCACACAGATCTATTGCGAAAGCACTTCCTCCAGCCAACAATCCCTTCTTCCACCCTTGAACAAAATACATAGAGGTTGATTACCACTTCATTAAGGATCACCTCAAGGCAGAAGAATTCATAGTCAACCACATCATGACGAAAGACCAAACCACAAAATCCTCACCTAACTTCTCCCGGTCTCTTGGCATCAACATCTCACAAACATTTTGATCATCATCTACATCAACCATTAACTCGAGGGCGATAAATGACCTAGCAGTATATTACTCACCTCGCACATGACCCATGATCCTCTATCTTCAACACCACAGGATGATAACAACATTAGCACATCCAAGTCATCCACCTGGAACAAATAATGTTTCCCTTACTCTCTTAAGCCAATGCATAGCCATATATACTAAGCCATTGGTATCAGATAATAAAATAAGATTTAGAGAGTATTAAAGAGAGGTAGTATGAATTATATGAATTTCTATACAATGCCCTAAATAAACATTATTTATTCATAAGAGCACTAAAATGATTTTGAGAAAAGGCCTAGTCACCTAGCGATTGGCCTTGCTATGTTGGCAAAGCTTGCCAATGCAACAATGCCAGTCGGCTATTCTAGTCAATGTTTTTAATTTGGGGCATTTAGATACATAATAGGCAATTCTTATGTATTTACATTTGTCACACCTAAACTTTCATATATACACACATAACACTCAAATCTTTAATATCACATAATCAATTGCACTGATATCACTTTTAAAAGTGAAATACACTTTTCATGCGTAGATTTAAAGTACCAAAGTTTAGATGTGAAATATGTAAGTACATAAGAATTGTGTGCTACACATGCAAATTTCCCTTCTAATTTTTTTAACATACAAGGGTTGGTAGGAAATTTAAAAAGAATTCAATGCATGTTATAGAGCAAGTGACCTCATCACTAAAATCAATTACAAACACAATTGCACATATTTTAAACAACAACAACAACAACAAACCTTTATCCCAACATATTTTAAAAGAAAGAAAAGTTTGTGCAATTGACATAATATCAAGATATGCTCCTGTATGACGCTCCTGTATGACCTATAAACATGTTGGATTGAGCAATACTTTTATGCTATCCTTATTTATACCTCTTTAAAAAGCTTATTATTTGCATTAGGAAAATTTTTGAAACAACACTTCACTTGCTTCTCTACAAACTTTTTGGTTAGTTTTGATGTCTCTATTCTTGAAGCCTTTTTGTTATAATTAAGCTAAATATTTACTAGTTCAATTTCAAATTAATGTTCTTCTATCACAGTACATAGTGAAATCACTCGTGTGATTTTCTTTTGTCTACTTAGATATAGTCGAAGTCAAATAATATGCATACCGTTCATTCTTTATATTTATATGTTATAAAAAATATAATTTACAATACAAAAATAGAAAAGAAAAAAATGTAACTTATTAGTTCCTAAATCATTGCCTATGTGGCATAGTAGTATAACCTAATGTGTAGTGATTTTGGGCATGTAATGAGCAGCCTGGTGACTATTGTGAATCCAAAACATCATTATGCTTTTGTACCATCTCTTCTAGTGTTAATTGATGATTTGACTATTTAATCAACCCTATTGTTATTGCCTTAGGCAGAAGTGAAGTTGCACACCCATCCAAAAATGTGCTAGAACAAAATAAGGTGATGGTGTGACTCGTGTGTAGAATGTTGATGGCAGCCCCCCCTTAAATACACTCAAATGTAAATCGAACAATGGCTATTGTTGATACTAAACTAACTCATATTGACTTTGCCAAATGGATCTTACACTAGATGTGTATGGATATATAAAATTTTAGAATATACAATGGAGATGATCTGACGACCATGGCATGTATATCTGGAGCTGAAGTTGATGTTATTGCATGCACTATCTCGAAACCTCATGTCATTGATGTACATCCATTGTCACTTGCCGTTGCATAACTCTTCGAACATGTTAATTGCATATTGAATGGGAGTGTTCTCATTTTTTTCAAGAAAGGCTGAAAATTTCCTCAGTCCACAATATAGTCACATTGCATGTATGAGTATTATGTCTTTCTTTAATAAGTTAGAAACTTGCCAAAATTCTCTCTCTTGATGCTTTTGGGTAGTAAGTATACGATGGATCAGTAGATGCATCAACAGATATAATGATGCATATAATCTGTACCATTGCATATAACATGTCGATGCATGGTGCCTTTCCATACCTCCCTCATCACCAATGACAATATATGCTTGTCTCTTCTCTCACATCACAATGTGCATCTAGTGATAATAAATCCAATTCACATTTGCTTTTTCTCTACCATTTACACTTCATTACCTAGGCTTCACCAGAGCTACATCAATATGTGGTAGTTAACCAAATTGTCTCACCATTCAATTTGGTAAGTGTCACTTCAGTTTCTTCTAAGCAAAGGATTTTGAGCATGTTGGATACCCTTTCAACACAAGCATGTTTATGCGACTCAAAAGTCTAATCTAACTTCCTAAAGTTCTCAGATAATCTGCAGTCTACATCGCATAGAACTGTAGCAAACCTATGTTAGCAAACTCATTTAAAATTACTATACTTTAATGCAAGTAATTTTGATAGTCTGCTCTACTTAACTATGCAATAAACCATGCATTTCATCTATGCAGGCTTTTATTTTGGAGGTGGGCATCTCACAAATACGCTACTCATTCCACTTGATTGCCATTTTGAAAAGAGACTTAGACCTTTTATAAATGGAGAGCAGGAATAATATAACAACAAGAAAATGTGCAATGTATTACTAGTAGCCCAGCTCATCCCATTTGACTCTCGTGGGTATGGAACATGAAGTAATGGTTTGTTCACGTGAAGGTGGTCCCACGATCATACCTCTAGGTGCAAACAATTCGACAAGTTGACTCATTTAGGTTTTGTTGCTTCATTCAATTACCAATACAAGTGTGCTAAAATTGCATCAACCAAAGAATATATGGAGAATAGTTTAAGTTCTCAATTAATGGGGGATACTATAAATGAACATGATCTTTTGATGTGTGATGCAATTGGAAACAACTTATCATGAATGATATGCATTCCTAAATATACTTTTCAAAATTAAATCTCCTCAAGATCCATATTTAAATCCCGAAGAAAAGTCCATTTTAACCATCTAAATGGCAATATGTCCACGCATAAGCCTGCCTCATTTGAAATATGGAAGTTTGGCTAGATCACATTGTGCTCAGGATGTTGTTTATGTTTGTTGTTCATGTATGTAGGTTGTCATAACAATCTGGCCATGAATGTCATCTTCTGCCATCTCTACAATAAAATGCTCAGCTAAAGGACACCAATCTACATTAATCTCTAGAATTATTCTAATATCTTAAAATTAATCACTATCTCTTTTACAGACAGATAAGGCGATGTGTATTGCAATTCATTCTTGACATTCACAATCCATTTATTAAGCATGAATAATTTTTGGCAACATTAAAAAGTGAAAATTAATTTCCAAGTTAGTTGTGTTAAAAAAAAAAATTGTTGCAATATAGATGTATATTTTATAATGCAACATTAAGGAAATAAGACATTTATTGATTTGAGATGTGCGACCAAGTGCGAAGCATGCAAGGAAGCAACGTTGGGATGAATTTCTGAAGTGGCACGATCAACAATGGCATCAATTTTGTCAGCATGCCTTTGGCACCGTTATTAGGATGCCAAGGAACCTCCTCAACTATCTTTTCTGCTTTAGAAGATAAAGCATAATAGTGAAGATAAAATAACAAGTGGAAAATATATAATATCAGTATATTGTTTATGAATACATATCATTTTATGGATTATGCAGACATGTTTCCCTGTCATGACTGATAGTTTTGCAAAAAAATCATATTATACTCCTAACCCCTTTGTCTTATTCATGGCGTTGTTTTAATGCCTTGTGCATTGTTGATCTGCTCTTCCTTTTTTGAAGTTGGGTGGGTTAAGTACATGCTACCTTGGTCGAGACGTCGTTGACCTTCCGCAACAATAATGTGCAAACATGACATTTGATATGTTTATGTGCATTTGCAATTTTCTTTTCCTTATAGTTAAACTCTAAAAGAGCTGCAAGTCATTTTGAATACTTTTACCTTGTTATTTATACATCTAGACTGCGGAAGTTTTCTGGGCTCTTATCTTTGTTATTTGGTTCTTGTTCTCTGAACAAGTTTTGACTCATTCTCATTTTCTTAGAGCACACATTATTCAATTGTTCAAGAAAAGCACCATAATATTATAGTAAATAGAGCATATGAGTGCGTGTATGAATGGCCTTGGTCCTCACTTCAATACTCCATTAAATTATTCAAAATTATCCGTAGTTATCATGCAATATCTGCAATCATCATTGTGCATTAGCGGCCTTGGTGCTCAAACTTGGTATTCTTCAAAAACCACCAGATGTTTGCTACAGTCTGCAGAAAGTGTCACATTCAAGATTTGGAAGATGATCTTGTTTTAGACACGTTTCAGTTGCAATCGTCATATTATAACTTTTAAACTTTATATTATTAATAATAGACTATCAATGCAATGCAAACGAAAGCCTTCCAGTAGCTCTGCCAAAGTAAATGTTCATTGATAAAGCAAGATTGTATTGATCGGCTCATAATAAATGATTTCTTCATCCCGTTTGGTCACCTGACAAGCACGTGCATCATCATTATTAGAAGTAATATGCTTCTATGGATTGACACTTCTAATGAAGTAAAATCTTATAAGAACTTGCTCTAAGAAATTGGCATCAAGTGCACTTCCTATGTTGTTGGTGTATGATAATCATTACTATAATTAGATTCAATGTTAGAATCATTAATCATATTGTCATAGCTCTCATAAATACTTATAAGATGCGTTTTACTATTTTTATGAAGAGCGTGAATGTCATGTGAACTCATTCTGCAATGGCAATGTTGGATCTAGTTGCTTATCAAGTTAGGATACAGTAGAAATTTTGTGGGCTTGTCAATTAAAGTTGACCATTTTCACTCCTAAGGAAGCATCATTAAATTTTGAACATAGAAGTTAAGAGTTACTAGACACCAATCGAGATATTAGAATGCCCTCCATCAATTGTGTAACAAATAATGGAGAAATATCTATGATTTGCTTAATGTAAGGTGCATTCAAGGGTGTGCAACAATGTTGTCCAAATTTCTCTCTTAATTCTGCGTAGGTTTGATTTTGACATAAGCTATCATCGATTGGTAACATGCTTGGTTAAAGTCATTTCATAGAATGCATCATCAGTTTTAGGGGATGCAATAACCACACAGCCAACAGAATAATGGCACGCCAATCTAACAGAGAACCTCAATATATCAGGTCCTTCAGATGCTATTTGCCCTTGGATTTGTAATTGATAACTTTTACCTCCAATTTATGTCGATGCAATTTACTCATTTTTGTTTAGTTGCTCATCATAGATAGGAGCAAGCATATTCATTGACGACTCATCGTTTCACTTATATTTTTCTCTTCAAGTAGTACGTTACTAATTTGTCACAATACACAAAAAAGGCTTGTCGAAATTTTAATCATCATGCATTGTAAGGGTTGATCAACGCAAATGTTCAAAAGTGAAAATTCTAGTATTATTTTGAACAACAAATTCATTTGAGTTAAATACTAAATCTTCTTGTTGACAAGTAGTTTGTAATTTGTGAATTAGTTCTTAATGAATTCTCTACATACACTTGCCTGCATTTACATTTACTCTAAAAGATAACATTAGCTTGATTTATTGGTGGTTTTCTATATCCTAAATACTTAAAAAAAATTTATTAAAACATCATGCTATCAAGATAAAAATTTTCACTAAACAATAACTTACGGTTCTTACATAAGACTTGTAACTGACGGATAAGCAAAAATTTAAATACAAATGAGCGATAAACATCTTGAAATAAATGTAAATAAATAAACTACAAGCTTTTAAAAAAGTAGGCAGCATAAATTATCTTTTAGATGGTACATTCACCAGATTGAACATAAAAGCATGAAAATACAACCTTACTCATATAAGTCAAAATTATTAAATGGAAGTGAATAGAGCAAAGAAAGAAAGGGAGAGGTGAGGGAGAAATGGGAAAGAAGAGGTGGAGAGTTTTAAATAGGAAAAAAAAGGGTTGAGAGAGGGCAATGCCTACTTTTGAAGTTTGCATTTTCTTCTTGCAAACAAAAAAATAAATAAATAATGTGGCAAGACTAGTTGCCCGTTCAACTGGCAATTGGGCTTATTTTCAAATTTTTTTACTATGTTCATACAAAAAAAAAACATTATATATACACATATGAATATTGTTATAATTGTATTCATTTTATTCATGAATATGCATTTCTTACTTAGCTTTAGCTAGTCAGATTGGATTTGGGTTTGGCCTAAATTCAAGTTTGATTCGAGTGGGACCTTGCTTGTCAGTAGGCTTGGTGCATCAATCTGAGTTTCATCCGATTTAAACATCAATTCGGTTTTCAAGCTATGCTAAGTTTTGTATCACAGCTTTAAATTTTGTTTTTGAATTAATCAGTCAGAGTTTTAATTGCGCTGTTGTTGCATTTGAAGTGAATGTTTGTACTTTGATAGTTTTTACCTGCAGAAATGGTGAAAGAGAAGGCAAAGAAGCTGAAAAATAGCCTCGCGAGAAATATCATTGATAAGGGTGCTGTTTCTAAGAATATTCTTGCAATGACTTTTAGACAAGTTGTTGTGCAGCAGTTGTGGAGCTTCCAGCTCGCGTTATTTTATCCGGGCACAGAGAGAAACATGGAAGATCTTGGCAACACAAGAGAGGTTGTCCTGCTTCTTACAATGTGCGGAGGGAGTATAGGCTTAGCAATATCTTGCTGATGTATTAATCTTCTTTGCAGGCCCAGGCTGGTTTTGTTGTGAATTCATCTGATGAGAGCTTCATTTCTTCTTTGGCCGAGGTTGTCACTTGCTGTGCCCTAGAAAGTGCAAAAAGCAATTACATCCAAGAAGCAGGTGGTTTGCATTCAAAATCTGCTCTTCATTGGTTTCAGAAGCCACCGAAGAACTCAGTCGATTCATCTATTTCTATATGTAGAATTTCTGAAACTGAGGTAGCAAAAGAAGCAAGGAATCTAGTTGAAACGTATAAATTAGTGAAAGGGAAATATGTGAACAGGTTGAAAAAGGTAAAGTATACGTGGTGGCCGCCACCTGATTATTCAAGGCTTGATTTGATTGGAGGTCCTGGATTTGGCTCTTGGACTTGTGAGTTCATTCCTGCATATAAGCTGCAAATTAATACCAGTGTTTTTAAGGATTTGAAGCTTGAAGGATGCCAAAATGTGGTGGACAATAGGTCGGAAGCTCTCTTAACCCATTATCAGATGGTATATCATTTCATATCTTAACTACTCTTTAGTTGCATGCATCGCCTTTCATATTTATGAAGCATGTTCTTGCATCATCATTGTCTTCATCAACTTTAGGTCAGTTTTTTATCCCTTGTATGTATTTCTATTGAATATTACATTTCGTATAATTTTCTTTTTCAAAATTCCGAGTACCTTCAGTCACTGTTTTTCTTTCTAATCGTTGCACATTAATTTTATTTGTTTTCTTTATTGATGCATCTCAATCTTTTGCAATATTGCAGGTACCACCTTAGCTATTTTTTTCATGACTATATCTTGAATCGATGCTAATCTTATTGTCTTTCTAATAAAATGCTTTATCATTTTATCCTTCTCAGTATTATTACTTGACATCATATCATGCTTGTTCTTACCTGCTGCAATTGGGTTTGTCATTGACTTTATTATTGCCAAATACAAATTTTTAATTATTTGTATGGCATAGCACGTCTTTAGAATACATTGCTCTACAAAATATTTCTACAACACTTCTTCATGTGCTCTTGTTCATTTATTAGAAGCTTTAGAAAGCTTATTTAAATCTCGTTCTATTGGCCATAACTAGGCCAAGCGTGTTGTTATTCATTAACTTAAATGGTTTGCTTATCCTTCACCATGTCTGTTAAGCTATTTGTAGTTGTGTGCCTATTTTCTTATGTGTTTGGGCAGTGTTTGTTTTGGGGGTTATCTGGTGTTTTTGTTGTGTTGTGCCATTTGATTGTGCTCAGTTATGGAAGTATATATAAAGTGAAGTTAATTTTCTAGCTATTATGTTGAGATATCTCATCTTGGAGTCTATTTATAGCTATGCTATCAACTGATGAGTTCCTATAAAAAGAGCCAAATCGATCCGTTGTTGGCTCCAGCTTCAGTCAAACAAAGTCATCTAAAAAATCCAGACATGAAGCAGTCAAGTCTATGAATCATCCTAAAATTCATTCTGCAACTGATGAAAACTGATGAAAACATGGTGGGGTGTTATAAAGCTGATGTTAAAGGTGTCAACTGCAAATTGCACCATGAAATTTCTAGGACGGATCAGCAAGCATGGAAAAACCAATTTAAGTGAGCTAAAGCTACCCGCCACTCCTTCCAAGATGAGAGAAGGATGGTTGCATTAATCATAGAAGATAAATTATTTTTTACAAATCACTCCACGAATTGCTCACTCTTTGGTTGGCGAATTAAAGGGAACTCTATGGATTTGTCAATTTATAATCTAATTCCTTAATAGTGGGGATATGAATAGGGTTTATGGTTATCATTTACATGTTTTGCTTATTAGATAGATTATCATTAGGCTTTTCTTATAAATTTTGATTAATTTTTATTAGACTTTCTACCTTTATAGATAGGGTCCTTTGTGATCAACTTCATTAGTCCTAAAAATTCTAGTTATCCTTTTACCATAATTAAATCTCCTTTTTTTTTTTCTTTTCAAAATTTTCTCTTTACCGAAGAGACTTCAATTAGTATAACGAGAGGTATAAGGAGCAAGTATGCACCGTAATTAGAATGGGAATGATAAAGGGGTTCAAGGAGGAAAGATGTATCAATGGGTTTAGCGAAAGTTTTTCCCATCATCCTATTGTTGGCTAATTTTTACAAGCTTTTTCATTCTTCAAACTGTAAAATTCATTGATACCCTAACAATGAGTAATCTATTCTATTAATTCTTTGCGAAGAGATTAATCATCTTGAGTGAGATTATTTTATATTCTTCTATTAAAATTACTCACTTTTGTGCATCTTAAACTCCAAACATTATCCTAGCCCAAATTATCCACTCAAAGAGCTCTGATCGAGCCACTATTTTTTATAGAACCATTGGGTTAAATCACGCGGACAAAAGACGAGTCATATGTTTAATAGCGTAGATTTATTTTGAGTGCGATATAATGATACATTCGATGTGACATTCACTTCTTGTGAACTGAGATTAATCATAGTTTATCACATTTGATAAACTACTATAGAGGGTGGATAAGGTTTGATTTAAGCTTTTGATAGATTTTTACTTGAATATTTTGGTTTGTCATTTTGAAAACTTGCTTTGAAACTTAGTTTATAAGTTAACTGCTTTGGCCAAGATTTTCAGTCAACATGGCCATCATTGTAGTTTAAAATTTGAAGCCTTTTTTTTTTATTGTCTCTCGGCATCTCTCTTGTGTATGGGGGCATCAACAAATGGATTGGGTCTGCCTACCACGCCTAAAATGGTGTGCATGATGTGTATCATGACACTGCTATTGCAGGGTGTCTTCTAACCCATTGCGCTTAAAATGTTCGCATAGGACTTCAAATTACCTCCATAAAAATGGTGCAAACATAATTATTTTTTTGGTTGAGTTGGAATAACTCGAATGAGTATGTATCCACAAATTTTCCCTTCGCATTCTATTGTAGCATAAACGAGTATTTATTAAGCAAATTTTTAAGTTGATATATATATATATATATATATATACACACATGTATATATCTATACATGTCTGTATGTATGTATATGTGTGTTTGCTTGTGTGTGTGTGCGCATCTATACATATGCATGTATGTATGTTTGTGTGTGTGTATGTTTGCGCCCGCGCACGTCTATATATGTGTATGCATGTGTGTGTGTAAGAAAACATTTAAAAAATTTAAAAAGCTGATATTATTGCGGTTTGAAATGACGACAATGCACGTTTCTCACAAAGACAATGCTTAAATACTTTAAAAAAATCAAATAATTTAGATTTCATTTCTCTTCTGTTTTGCTTTAAAATTCTTATGAGATGGCTTCTGGGTAGCAGTGTTTGAGCAAAACGAATATGATTTATTTACATCCCTTTCAAATGACAAAAATGACACCTTCAAATCCTGTAGAATCCCACGTGACTCCATCAAAATGACTAACATTAAATTATATAGATCTTTGATCTCATTTATTTTATTTTGCCTTAAACTCTTCATAGCATGGCTTTTACGTAGCAGGATTGGAGCCAGACAAGTAGAATTTGCTTCAAATCCCTTCTAAACAACAAAAATGACATCTTTAAATCCTATATACTCTCTCTCTCTCTCTCTCTCTCTCTCTCTCTCTCTCTCTCTCTCTCTCTCTCTCTCTCTCTCTCTCTCTCTCTCTCTCTCTCTCTCTCTCTCTCTCTCTCTCTCTCTCTCTCTCTCTCTCTCTCTCTTTTTGGTTGTTGCCCTCCCCCCTCCCCCCTTCTCAAATTCAGATTTTTAATTGGGAGGACAATTTAGTCTTTTGTCCCTCCTGAAATATCATTTTGCTTTTCATGCCCTAGCACCTCCCTTATTGGCTTTAGAGGTGTAGTTTACCCCCCTAAAAAAAAGGCTGATTCCGCCCGTGCGGCTTGAATGCACAAGTCTCTCTCTCTCTCTCTCTCTCTTTCTATATGTATATATATACATACACTTAGGAATTTAGCAAATGGAATCAAATTTATTGAGTCTATTTTGAATCACCTCAAAACTCAAATCAAGTTTTAAACTTTGAGCAAAATTACTTACCGTACTTCCAACAATTTTTTTTATTCTTGGCAGAAAATGAAATTTCAAATTGGAGATTTGTAGATGGTGTAATTATGATGACTCGCAAATTGTGTTGCTCCAAGTTAAACTGGGATATTTGTGTAAAAAAAATTCTGAATTATTTTTGTATACCTGCTTTTAATATTTATTTTTTGTAATTAAAATGTGATGTTATATCAATTGTTATGAGCTGTTTGAAGAGCGGGATATAGTCAAGCATTGAGTATTTTTTCCCTGATGTTTGGATGGTTTTTGCAAAAAGTTCAGGACAGTTTGGGGTCAGTTTTGTTTTTTTGTTTTCTATTATGTTTTTTATTTGTTTGTTTAAAGTAAACATGCTTGACATATTGAAAATAAATTAACTTATTTTAAAAACACACAAAACAACTTGAGTGTTTTAAAAAAAAGTTGAGTTGTTTTTAATAACAAAAACTAAAATATATAAAAATAAACTAAAACATCTTTTCAAAAATAAATAAATATATAAATTGTCCCAAATAGGCTTTTGCTTGTTTCTTCATTTTTCTTGCTTATACTTCATTAGTCTATTAATATATTTTATTATCTATTAATATATTTTATGATCAATCTTGTTTTTTAAGAGCTGTAGGTTGAACTGGCAAATATTCTTGACATGTTTTATGAAGATCGCTATACAATGCCAAATAAACGGCTTTTATGCGACTTGCTTACAGAAGCCCCAATCACCTTAAAGCGCAAGGTAATGCCATTCCTCTTCTTGAAGTTCTTTTTCGGTTGAAGTAACTTGCTATTACTCTTTGAGCATTTTCAGATATTAAGGCTTGTTTCCATCGCTACATAAGAAATTACTGTTTACATTAAAATAAAAGGACAACTACATAAAGACCACCAGAAACTTGCTATTTTCAAATCAACCACCCTCTTTCATCCATTTTTCAAACTCTTCACTCAAATATCAAAAGTCATGGTAAAAACCCAACGCATATTTTTCATTTTAATCAAATTCACAGTAGTTTGATTTTAACATGCGTAAATACATCGGTTCAGTTGTTCCAAAAAAATCACTTGGGTGGTTAATATATAATTATTAATGTTTCGGGTGATCTGTATGTAATTACCCCTCAAATAAATTAGCAACGCAGAAACATCAAATTTATCTTTTATTTTGAAACTGGAAGTATGAAGCTCATCACTAAGGTTCTTCTGCCTCGGTCTTATGTTGCAGAACACACCATGGAAACTATTATTTACTGTGTTTGCTGGTGGATTCGCTATTATGACTTTTGCTGTTCTTGCTCAGCTTTGTTGGCCAAAACATGCAATAAGAATTTCAGATGTGAAAAATGTTCATTCATTATCAAAAGTAAATTGCAGCAGTCTCAATGCTCTTGGGAGTAGTGAGGTACGTTAGCATAAATTATTAATGCTACGATTAGTGGATATATATTTTCATATAGGTACACCATTAGTCCAACTGCTTAATTGGTACTTAATACCCAAGTAGTCAGCATTGGCTTGACAATGTAGAATAAAAAAAATGATATTCTTAAATCACCATGCGAGTATTGAACAAAGCATTCACTGAGAAATTTATGACTATCAATGCAAGATAAGCATGTAGAGCTTCTCTTATATTTATGCAAAATCTAAATCCATTATTGAAAGAACCACAAGCTTTTTTTTTTCCGGCATTTTTTTCAATATTTGTATTGATGATAGCTTGTTTTTTTTTTTTTTTTCTCAATTGGAATGTAGCCATCAGACTTATGAATCGTCAGGATAAAGTCATCTGCCCGACTTCAGTAGAATGTGTTATCATTTTGTTGAAATAAGGCAGACATAACAGTTGGAAATCTACATATTATAAGTCGGTTTAAAAATTATAGAAACTGACTGCAAATAGTTGGGAAAATGCTAATAATGGCGTTGAATGAAACTGAGGATCAAGAACATATTGTGAACGCTTGCTAGAAAGTCTCAAGACTAATGTTATTCGTCAAATTTTCTGGACTGCCTAAGCATGTTAATTTTGCTCTCTAGGCCCGACATCTCAATTCAATGAAATTGGGCTACCATAAAAAATTAGAATGTTAATTATATCTCTAAATGCTCTTTTTAATTGAAGATATTTTGTCTAATTCCAAATTATTTTATCAAATAGCTAGAAGCTTTGTGCGTCGCAATCATCAATAAGATAAAAGATGAGCTTGGTTGGTCTGAGGATTTAATGGTTGACAAGAATATAGGTGTCTGGACTGGAGCACTTCCAATGTACTTGAGAAACGAGGGCGTTGTGATGGAAGCCATCTCCAGTGACGTTCCTCTAATTTCTGGTGGCTCAAGCTCAGAAAGTCACGCAGAGCTGTCCCCTACTGTGGATTATCCTTCAGCAGCTAGAGACTTGGAGTTGCAGAAAACTGCTCCAGATATCGCTAGTTATCAGGTACTTTTGATAATTTATTTATCACTTGAAAAGCATTACAATAGCCCCTTGGCTCTTTGTAAAAAGTCATTTTAGTCCTAGAGTTTATAGAAGTGTCAAATTAATCCATAAGATCTTTAAATAGAGGCTGAAATGGTCATCTGTGGGGATCATTTCGGCTCATATTAAAAGAGTCTGAAGATTAATTTGACACTTTTATAGACTCTAGAACTAAACTGATCTCCCATCAATAATCAGAGGACTAATTTTGGCACCTTACTCTTTATTTATTACTTGAAAAAGAATGGTTCAAACCCTAAGCTGAATATTTAGAGGCATATTTTTCATATGAGATTTTTGGGATCGGCTACACTGGAGACATGCCGCAGTACTCAAAGTGTTCCGCAGAAATGATATGCTGCTCTGTAGCTTGTATCCCTATGCTAAGATGATTCAAAATTAATTATTTGTGTGGGCCAGGCTAGAAAGCTCCGTGTAGAAATAATACTCTTTGCATTAAGAGCAACAAAATTTTTGGTCATCCAGTGAAGTCTTCTTGGTTCAAAAAATTCTTTGAGACATTTACATACGGCTCAATTTTTATGTATTTACATATCTTACACCTAAACTTCACTTTTTTAACCACCCAAATCTTTCATTTCACATAAAAAATACTACTATTTTAACTTTTAAAAAAAGTGAAATACGCCTTTTCATGCATAGATAAGGTGCCAAGAAACAGAACAAAAATGCATGTGTAAAATGTTAATACCAATATATTTTATTGAAAATCTGCTTTCAATCTTTTTATTATTAATTTTGTTGTTTGGTTCACATTATCTTTGTCAACCATAACACGCAGAAGCAACCTTATTTATTTAATGACCCCTTTCATGCTCCATTTTTTTCAGGCAGTCCTGACTAAAGATGGAAAATTAATTGGCTTCCAACCCACAAGTAGAGTTGCCGTCAATCACTGGGCATCCAATCCCTTGGCAAAGTCTTTATATGGTGTACACAACCTGTCTCCTGGTGAGGTCATAGAAAAAAAATATTTCTATAATATTGATAGTTCCCTCTGAATTACGGCTCGAATGATTTGTGATCCCAAGCAACTTTCTTTGACAGGCCTATTTGAGCCAGGGCTCAACATTCCCGTCCCTCCAGATGCAATCCCAATCGAGTTATTGATGTCAATAAATCCAGAATCACAGTTCGCATTGGCAAGACCAATCCAATGAGCTTGTAAGTTATAGTATTATTTAGGATTAAGAACAAACGTATCCAGAATTCAGATTTGCATAACAAAGTTTCAACTTAGACAAGTTACTTAGAACAGAAGGAGAAGAAATGAGTACCATTCCCTGTAGTTTTTCCAATGGCTGACCAAAACAGTGAAAACTACATGCTTCACTTGTTCGATGCTTCGACGAGATTAAAACAACTTAATTGGGATTTCGAAGACTTGGAAATATGGTCATGTCAATGGAGAAGTGGCAGTGATACATATTGCGCAATTTACTGCTACAATCTTTATGGCTATCCACAAGTTTGTATTTTGTGTTCATGCGGGGTATAAGAACTGGCTTTTGCTCTTGCACTGTGCTTTTATGTGGTTTTGTTTTAAAAAATGGATTGCCCATTAAAATCGTACAGGCTTTACTGCTTTAATTATCATTCCTGGAATATTTTATTGTATATTAAAATCTTAGTTTGTTAATGGTAATATTTGTTAGGTTTAGAAAGTACAATGTATGGAAAAGAAATTGAATTTAAGATTTTGACAATAGTTTGAAGGTCTTACAGTTGAGCTTCGATCAGTACTCGTGCTTGCATGCAACTGAGAAGTGTTTGAAGTTTTGGATTATCTGACTATTTTTAGATTGTTAGGGATTTACTTGGAATCAATATGTACTTATGTTATAATTGAATTGAATGGTGAAAGGCACCAGTAGTAGGTGGAGGTGCTGTAAATTCTTTTACAGCAATAGGTCGGGGTGAGGCTGTAAATGAAGTGTTCTATATTTATATGATATTAAAAAAATTTTTATTTAATTAATTTTTTTAAATATTAATATTTTATAATTAATATTAATTCGTATATAAATTTAATGTACTTTTAAAAAAAAATTATTTTGATAAATTTGTTTATTGGCACTTAGTTTAAAATTGTAATTTTAATTTTTTACATTATTTTATTTATTTGGTATAAAGTAGGTAGATGATATTTTAACTTTATTTAATTGTATTTATTAATGTATATAGATTCATTTATTAATCATTTAACTTATATTAAAAAAATTTTAAGCAAGTAAGAATAAATATATAGAGATGCTCAAATTTGAAATGAACATGAATAATTTATGATTCAATCAAAATTTAATATTTAATATACTAAACTCTTCCCAAGCCCAGACAATGGTTTGACCGTTGGATAAACAATTTCTTCTTATTAGATCTCCATGATTAGGATGTGTATCATTTGTTTAAAATTAAAAAAATCAAATTGAATTGAGTAAATTTAATTGATTCGGTTCATTTAAGAAAAATAATTTGATTTTTAGTTTTAAAACTTCTTTTCAATTTACGAAAATCGGATATCTTAATATTCATTAAAAAAAATTAGTGAAAAATCCAATAATATTAGAATTAGATAATTAAATTCATTTGAAAAGAAAATAAATTAAGTGCATGACAAATTTATTTTAGTTTAGTAGAAATTTTTAATTTTAAAGGGAAAATGAGAAGATAAAAAAAGGAGATAAAATTTTCATTTTGAAATAAAACTGTTTAAGTCATAATTTTTCAGTTAAAAAAATGGAAAAAAAATGCTACTTTTTGATTTGTTTCAAACCAAACCGATTAAACTTTAGCATTTGGCACTTTTATAAATAATTTAGCATTTGTTTGAAATTATGATGGTATTGTGAGGTTTTTGGTTCTTTAAACCCATCATAATCTCAAACAAATGTTGAATTATTTACTAAAACAAGTTTGTGACCAAAAACCTCACAATCCCATCATAATTTCAAACAAATTTTGAATTATTTATAAAAACAGGTTTGTAACCAAAAATCTCACAATCCCATCATAATTCAGCATTTGTTTGAAATTATGATGGGTTTAAAGAACGAAAACATAAAACAAATTTCAAACAAATAATACATCATCTATCAGTCAGTTTTTATACAAGCTAGTTTTTAAAGGTTACAAACTTGAGTGAAAACATAAAACAGAGGATACTGCGGTTGGTTAATTCCTCAAAATGCTAAATAGAATTAATACCCTTTTTAAAAGAGCCAAAAACCTCACAAACCCATCATAATTTCTAAGTTCATTGATCCACTTTCCCTCTTTTAAAGTTGTGAACCATCACATCTGAAGTAGATTTTATCTAGGCTCAAAAACTAACTAGATGTCATTGTAACAATTAAAACCTTTAGATTTGGTAGACACAATTTAGAGTTGAGCCAACATTAATTTATCGATTTTGATCCAACATACATTCGAGCAAATATTTATTTCCATCCATATTCTATCTTCAATACAGACATATATAATTAACATATTTTAATCAATCTCAATAAGATTGATCCGATTCAAATTTGACTCAAACGAGGCTAAACTCATCAGTCACCCCATTGATTTAAATTGAAGTTCTATTTAACAAAACAGTGATCCATTTTTTTCTACAGCCTTTATTGTTATGATTGAGTTTCTTGTTTGATGATGCCTAACACAATGCCCCTACTACATTTGATAACTTCAATGCAAATGTGTGGTGGTGGAAGGAAACACTGAACTTTGAGCTATGGTAGAAGTGTCAAAATTTAACTCCACATGAAAACTTGACTAAAACCCATCTCCAAAAAATCTTTTTTTAGGGTAAACATGAATATTTATCGAGTGTGGTCCATGTATTAGCATTCGACACAGATTAGATTTTTAAGTTGTGTTTGGGTCGATCCAAAAACTAAAATGACCTGAAATTGACCTGAAAATTTTCTATTGTGGGTTCTGGATGAGCAGAACGATAAAACTAAAAGGGTTTAGATGTCTCTCAGCTTTCCACTTCATTATTCTCTAATCCATAATTTCCCTATACTAAATCAGTGTATCTCAATAACGATGACGAAACCCACTTCGCCAATCCCTAAGTCACAATCCCCACTGGAAGCTTGGAAGCTACAAGCCCTCACAACTTTCGCAAACTCAAAAGACTTTAAAGCGAAGTCACACCAGGATTCATCATTCTTATCTCTTCATTTGTTCATAGTTCAGAATCTCATCATTTTGTTTGCTCAGGTCGGTCTACTAAATTCTTGCCATTCTTGCAAGATTTTATAATTTCCATAGGCCACAATCCCAAAGATCAGATGCTATTTTACAGTATAAGCTTTATAATTTTGCTCGTATTACATAATATTTAGTCTTGCTTTATAACATTTATGTTTTTGTCTATGTTAGACAAAAAAAAAATCTGAGTTTAACATAATTTTTACTTCACAATTTGACTCCTAGATGTATAAAATTGATGTGTATTAATAAATATTCTGTTGATAAAAACTAAAAAAATAAATTGTATCAAAATTTTGAATTTATGCTCATGCATTAAAAAGAAAAAAACATGAAATTGGCTAGTGAATAAATGTTTCGTTTGTACGTATACATCATGACCCAATGATGCTTTATAAAGGATGAATCAAGTGAAGCTTATAAATTTTGTATGCATTAGTCAAAATTCAGATTAGATGATTTATACCACCCTTGTCTTGTAGGTGAAGTTTCTCTCTCTATTTTCTCTATCTTTGCCCAGTTTTTAAAAGTTATCTTCATGTTATTAGTTTTTCTGTCATTATCCTGTGCTAAAATTTTGAGGCAAAAGTAAATGAATTATTATTTTTTTCTTTGCCCATCCTATGGATATCAATTTCATAACAATTTTGTTGGCCTTCTTTTAAATGCTCATGAATAGATCATATATTTACTCTTTTGCTGAAAACTGCACCGGGCAACTTCTTTTTGGTAGTTTTGTTAGAAACATATGGGTCCATTTGCATATAATAATACATTTCTAGTTTTTTCAATAAACAATTATAATATCCAATCTTGTGTGAGACTCAACCAGTTATCTAGATATATTTCCATCATGTTGTCCTGAGAACTAATGTTGCAAATCATTGTTATTTCACTGATTTAATTGCCTATTATAAGCAACTTCCACTATTATTCAAATTCTGCTACTTATAGTTATTCTTTGTTCAACCACCATTTTTTAATGTTGTTAGCCTCTATTTTATGTTGTTACTTAAATGCCATTTAGTTCTAAATTTATGTTAGCTTGTAAACTTTATAGTGGTCCCTACTAGCTTTGATTATAACAATGCTACTTCTTCATTCTTCATTAGCTTTATTTAGATAGTTTTAGATCAAATTGGTCATATTCAATCTCATATGGACACTTTAGAGCTATACTTTTAGAGTTTTATTAGCACATTTAGTTTCATCCATATAACAATTGTCAATATATCCTGTATTAAAATTTCTGTTCTCTTTGGGGGTGTTTGTTATTTACAGGATTTAATCATACATTTAGCTTAGATCTAGCCTAACACTTTAAAAAGTTAAATACATTGCTCCATTAAATCCAACTTCCGCACGTTTGATCTTAAGTTCTCCCACATTCCATCACTTTTGAGATGTAAATCAGGATTTGATAAATCTAATTGCAAGCAAGATTTATTGGTTGTCACTTGAGTTTCAATTGTAATATTTCTTATTATTAATAATGGCCATAATAAGTCTCCACAAGTATCCACACGATAAATCAAATATATTGAACTTCATCTAAAGCTATCAGGGTAAATTAATGAATAAGTATATTGCTACACTCTCATAATCAAAGAGGAAACCAGTGGAAAACCATTAAACAGAAAAACAAATCCAAACTGAGAAGAAGGCCAAAATGTCCAAAAGCTAATGTAGACCTAGAACAAAATAATATATGCGTAAGCAACAAACAAAAGAGGCCAACAACCGTAAGACACGGCAATTGAACCAAAAGTAAAATGAGTAGCAGAATTTGCGCAGTAGTGAAAGTGGCTAAGTACAAGTAATCGAAAAACTGAAAGAACAACCACATTCGATATCAAATCTCAAGACAATATTATGGAAAGATATACATATAACCAGTTGAGTCTCACATAAGGTTAAATATCATTATTAATCACAAAAAAATTTAAAAATTATTATTATACGCAAATACGCCCATACACACATATCTATATATATCTATCTATCTATCTATCTATCTATCT